CGGTTAAACGTGAATTAAGCCATTCGGCGTGATGGGCGTTAATGTCGCCGAGAATCAAGATCTCTGCGCAGGGGATCTGCTGTAGCAACGAATCTGTAGCCATTTGGACGTGGTCGAAGAGTCGGTCTGTTTCGGCATTACTGCTATGGGACCTATAGAGGCACCCGTAGACGCGCGGATCGTCGTCGCTGTCCACGCGTAGCCAAAGGGTGGACAGGTCCGAACCTTCAAGTCTGCCGAGGCGTCGAGAACAGATGTCCTCTCTGACGTAAACGCAAACTCCAGCCCGAGGCACAAAGGAGTGTTCCAGTTTGTACCCAGGGTAGGAGAGATATGAGACATCAGCGGGAGATGACACCTGCGTCTCGGTCAGAAAGAGCAGAGCCGGCCTCGCCATCTCGAGATGGTAGTGGACGGCGTTTAGGTTAGAGTGAAGTCCCCTGATATTGCAGAAATTCACGGACAGCGTGGCAGGGGTCGCCTTGGTCTTGGTGCTCCGTTTGCCCCGAGCAGTTGTAGTCTTGAGCAGAATTATACCCCCCCCCCCCAGAATACGCGGGACAGCCTGAGCACCCACGCTCAAAAGTGGAGAAACATGGTCGTGGATGCTCAGCGAGGGATTCTCCAGGGCTGCTGGTACCCTCCTGGGGTAGTCTATCATCATTTAATTCCGCTACCATGTTGATGGAGGGGGGGATTTGGGCTTTCGGCCACCTGCACTCACCAGACGAAACGCGGAAGCAGAGCCTCCACTTCACGCCGGTATTCTGTGAGGTCGTGGTACCACCCCTTTTTGAGCCGGCCCATAAGTGCAACAGCAAAGCTGCCGCGTGGCTCTACCATTGTTAAAAAAAGATTGTCACCGTATCCTATAAAAAAATGTTCCCTACAAAATAAAGTAAGTCATTAATATAGATTACGATACTTCCGATCCGGAGGAAACTTCACCAATGATAAAAACTTTCTGAGTTCTATTATTTAAATATCAAATGATAAGATAGGCGGACTGATAAGCACAGAGCTGACTTGTAATGTTGGTACCCGTGGGCATTCTGTCGGATTTGTTTTCTGCGATTTTATATGAATTGATTTATTATGATGATTAAATTGTCATTGACCCGTTGATGGATCCAAAGAGTGTAATTTTACACCACGCGCATGTGTGGCAGGTATTCGCAGAATAAATTGTAGCATTTCCTTGACAATCATATTATTTAATTTGTAATAAAAATTTTGAGTACCTATTGTAAAACATCCTCCTAAAAATCGTGATCAGCTCTTGTACTATTTCTGTAGAATGTTCTTTGTAAAAATATTAAATCAAAACAAATGCAAAAAGGTTATAATAATTTAAAAAAAAAACAACGAAAACTTATGGAGCTATATTTATAATATTTACTAAAAACACCGTGGAATTTTCTTTGAGAAAAAATAACAATCTAATTAAAATCATCAAAGCATCCTCTTTGTAGTCAGATGCGGAAATGTATACCGAATAATTATTACAAAAAGCTAACAAATAATACGCTCCTTAGAGCAGACATAATTAAATACGTTATCTTAATAGAATTTGTAATAAAAGCTGACAGTCGCTGTGGAAACATTTGAAGAAATTATGATAACGTTTATTTATAGTCTGTTAGATAAACCAGGTCTTCATACTTCGTTTATTCTATGTTATGATAATAGATAATTCGTAATTTAATGTTAGTGTAATGAAAGATGGTATTGGTAGGTATAATGTCTTCGTCTATGATTTTAATTAGACTGTACCAGGGTGGTCTGAAAAGTTTCAAACCTCAACGTGAATACGTCTCATATAACTCATCCATAAAAGCAAGTGAATAAATTTGTGCGTCATTTGACAGTTACGCATCCAAATTTCTGTCATTTTGGACGCGTAGTTGCGATCTCACAGTTGTTTGAGTGAGCCGATGTGAGTGTTTTTGTGAAAATTGAAAAAATGAGTATCGAGCTGTCATTAAATTTTTGTTTTTCGAAGGCAATACGGCACGCAAATCAAAGATGAGTTGGACTCTGTATATGGGGACTCTACACCATCATTAACCACAGTAAAATTTTGGGCACCTGAAATTAGAAGTAGCCGTGAGAGCTTGGGAGACGATGAACGTTTGGGACGTCCGAAATCTGCAACTACTTACAATAACATCGCTTAAGTTCACCAAATGGCCAAATGCCGAATGAAAGTGAGAGAGGGAGAGAGAGAGAGAGAGAGAGAGAGAGGCTATGAAAATATATTGGGTACGTTCCAAAATAGAACCCAGTGTACTGTCCAATGCAAATGACGTCATGAATCGACGCTACACCGGTGATTCGTTCCAAAACATAGGACAGTATATGACGTCATACATTTGCGCCATATTGGAAAAGTGTGGCGATTATTTTGTCATTTTGTGCTCCAAAAATCATTATATCCTCCTAATGGAGATACCAGCAACTATTCTATAATTTTTTTTGTAATTGAATAAATAATAACAAATTCTGGCATGCTTCATTCATAGTACACACAATTAAAAATTGTTTTATTATGGCCGGATATCCGAATATAGTGTCAATTGATTACGTCATTTTTATTCGGCAGTATACTGAAAACGTTTCGGAACATACCCCCAAAGAACCTGTTTGTCACATATTAAATCAAGATTTAGGTATGAGAAAGCTGTCAGCGCGTTGGGTGTCGCGTTTGCTCATCTTAGACCAAAAACGTGTTCGAATGAACATTTCCAACGCTCTATTGGCGCAGTTTAGGCGCAAGAAATCCTAGTTTTGGTGCCGATGAATTACTTTATATTAAAATTGGATACACCATTATACGCTCGAAACACAAAAACAGCCAAAACAATGCACTGCAAAGTGGGAACCGGCTTCAGAAAAAAAACCATTTTTCAATTTTTTGGTTGAGAAAGTGATGGCGACCGTTTTTTTTTTTTTTGGGATAATCTTGGAGTTATCTGAATCGATTATTTCAAAAATAAAAAACGAATACAGGAGCAAAATTCGGATTATTATTTGAGAAGCTGAAGGCAGAAATACCGGAAAAACGCTCATGATTGCCCCGTTTCACCACTATGACATGCCGTCTCACACATCAGTGGTTTCCATGGCGAAAATCCATGAAATACGGTTGGAACTGCTTGACCATCCGCCTTACTCACCAGCTCTAGCTTCGAACGACTTCTTTTTGTTCCCTTATATAAAAATGCGCTCGGAGGTCAGATATTTTCGTCAAATGAGGAGGCAATCCCCTTCGTGAACAACTATTTCACAGAAAAAAACGCCGAGTACCATTTGGACGGTTTAGAAAGATGAGAGCATCGATTGGAATGGTGTGTAGAGTTTTAGAAGACTATGTAAAAAAATTTCTTGTGTCTTTGTTAGGTCGAACCGAAACATATACGGAAAGTTGCAAAGAAATTTATATTTTTATTTTTTAGAAACTTTTCAGACCACCCACGTATTTGGATACACATATATTTATTTACATACATATATATTTATTTACATATACATAGTTACATAGCATTTTTTGTAAATTGTGAATTTACTTATCATTAGGGAACTGTGTGCTCGGTTGTCACCCTTATTCTATAAAAAAATATGTTTGTGATTTCATTTTGAAGAATTATAGGGTGATCATAATCACCATCCGTTACAATTCTGAATTATGAATTCCGAATAATAATTATCTCAAGGCAAAGTAAGCAGTTGCCAATGGACCCCGCATCGCTCAAAACAGGGGGGGGGTAGACTTCCATACTTTAGGTTGGGGTTCAATAATTTGCAAAGACACTAGTGCCATCTTGTACTATATCCGCATAAACTTTCGAGCATTAAATTCTAAAAGGTGCGCTAGATGGCGACTACACCAATTCTGGTTATTCTCGAACTGGCAAGTAGCAACTTTATATGACATAATGGCTACCGGCGTCTAAGCAAGTTGTTGTTTTATTATAGTTTATAAGTGATTTTCGGTTGTTGTTAAAATAAGTTTGGTTGAGTTGGGTTTCGCCCTCTGTTTCTTGTTGTCTGTTTAGATTTTCATGCTGGAGCCACATTGTATGTTTGTGTAGTGTTGTGCGAAATAAACACTTTCATTTATCATTCCGGTAACCCGGTGGACAATTAATTTGGTTTGGTGTTGTATTTTGCGGAATAGACGCTTTTACATCGTGTATGTGAAATATATATAACAAAAATAAATATTAATATTACTGACATCTATAATACGTCTTTAATTGAACCCTAATCCCTTAAAATATAAATATAACCGCCTATAGTATAGATAGCTGTATATACATAACTACATACAGCTATCTATATTCAACATGATATTGAGATTAGTTCAAGAGATATGATACCGGACGGTGACACTATTCATATTGGGTGAGAAAAAATCCTAGGAGATGGCTCTCTATTTCTGTATATATTACTCTACTCTATGGCTCAAAGGATCCGTGGCATTATAGTAGTGTATAGAGTTAGTGCATAGTGTATAGTGTATAAACATAGTGTTAGAACACCGACTGCAGATTGTGAAATTCTGTTATTATGTTTTTGTTTTATGGAGTAGACTATTACTTTTTATTTTAAAAAAGTTATCCTTTTGAGGGGTCAAAGGAATATCACAAAATCAAGGTCCCATTTTCGACAATCTCACGAATGAAATATTTTCTCTGAATTTATATGGGATTACTCCTGATATTTAACCTATTTATTAAAGAAAAACTAATCATCTAAATCAGCTCTCAGTCTATAAAAATATAACGTAACATACATATTATAACAAACAGAAAATTGTAAACCTCTTCCTTTTTAAAGTTAGTTAAAAACATTTGAAGGACATTCTGTAAATATTACGTACATAAAGAAAAGTTTATGTAATGAAAAAATAACGATATAATTAAATAACAAATGTAATGTTAATATTTTAATTGTACTCATATATGTTGATCAAAATATTTAACTTATTAAATACTGTTCTAATTACTAATTAACATTCTGCTCATCCGAGAACTGAACCGTTTTCTTCTAATTGCAGACCTTCGACCTCGCAGCATACGCTTATCTCTTGGCGGTGATACACGACTAGATGGATACTGCCAATCGGGACATCTAACAATAATAACAAAACAGTATTATAATGAAGTGAAATTTATCAAAATAAGAAAACTATTTATCTGCAGGGTAGTGGGGATGTAAGGCAATCTACTACCCCATTTCATCCCATTTGTGTCGTAGAGGTGATAGAAGGATATGAAACGAGATATAGACAGCAGCATCTACGTGGTAACAACTCAAAATCCGTCTGCCAAGCATGTGCTATTTAATACGTGGTAGAGCCATGCTGCAACTTTTTTATAGAATAAGGGTGACAAACGAGCACACAGTCCACCTGATCGTAAGTGGATGCTGTGGCCGTAGACATCTTCATATATCCTCGATTAAGAATCAAAACGCAGATTCGTTGTCACCCCTGAGGACTAAGATGGAATGCCTAATAAGCTGCTATTCTACGCTGATATTGTGTAAGAGCGTGGTCCTTCCCCGGTCGAGCCGACCCATTCGTGTTACAAACATAATATAGCTGCAGCGTGTTAAATGGCACATACTTAGTAGGCGAGTTTTTGGGTTGTTATTAGGTAGATATATCATTATATTATGGTTGTAGCTCGAATAGGTTAGCTTGAACGAGGAAGGACCACACCGTCACATAATACTGCAGAATGCTGCTGTGTTTCGTATGGTGAGTGTAGAGAAACGGAGACCTTTTTTTACTGGAAACGAGGCATTCCATCTTTGTACTCAGGGGCAACGACGCATCTGCATTTTGATTCTTAATTGAGGATAAATGTGGGCGTTTATGGGCCACAGCATCCACTTACCATCAGGTGGACTGTATACTCGTTTGTTATCATTATTCCATAAAAAAGGCAACTGTAACAAGTATCCCATTCATGAGATATTTTACAAGTAGGCCTATGTTCACCTGTGAACGTTTGGTAGGATATGAATAAATAAATTCAATAAAAGTAAGGGCAACAACTTAGCAGTTCATTTGGTATATTGATGCTGTGCCCCATAGTCACCTTAGTCAATTTTTTAAATAAGAAACATTGCGCATAAGCTTTGTCACTCCCAAGGATCAAGATGAAATGCCTCGTTCCAGGTAAAGGCGCTCCGGTTCTCGTCTCGTGTACGAATTACCAGCAAAATTATGCTGTTATGTAGATTAATACTATATTTTGTACAGTAACGTAACAACGATTTTAAACATACCATTTTATGAATACCAAATTTTGTGATATGTTGTCTGTAATTTAATTTAATCATTTGCTTTTGTTTTAATACTCGTATATTTATATCATAAATGAATATCATTAACTTTTATTTTTAAATCCCTGTGCATTTCGCATTGTATGAAATATAAGTGTAACACAATTTTTGGACACTTAAATACTGTCCACTTTCCAATGATACGTATTGCTAACATCTTGTTTCAAAAGATGTATTTTTTACAAATCTTTCTATTGCTTTAGGTGAATAGCAACATTTTTGAATAGATTAACTTTAAAAAAATCAAAATTGAACATTATTTTTCCAACGAACTAAAGGGTTAAAATAATTGTGCAAGGAAAATTCATGTGAAATAAGAAAACTTGTTACACTTATTGTACAGTAGTAGTGACTTATTTTAAAAGAACACATATATCATTATTAAATTTCCTATTAAGAATTAACAGTTGAACATAGGCCACCTTTAGACAATCAAACAAAACAAAAAAAAAAGGTTTCAAGCCATCTCCATACATGCAATGTATGTAAATGCTATCGGCTACTTACAAGCCTCATTTCACCTTTGTGTTTATTTTTTTATCAACCCGTTCCACTGCTGGACTTCTGTGTATACAATTGGGGAAAAGATTTGGCGAAATCTTCTTGTTTGGCAAGTAGGTTGCCAATAATGGTACCAGGCGTCTAAGAGATTTTGGTATTTCTCATAGTCGTCTCTTATGACACACAAGAAAATAAGCGGGGTGAGTGATGTACAGGGTATTCAATAAAACGTTGAACTTATATTTCAAGTTTAAGCAAGCAGGTTAGCATTTTGTTGTCGAACATGTTGTATTTTTCTGACTTAATAACATGGACCTCCGCCAAAGGATGCCACAAAGCAACTGTTTCATGACTTAGGTATATCGCGAATGTTTTACGATTGTAACTTTTATTTGTTAACACTCACTTTTCTATGTCAGGAAGTGATTTTCCTTTGCATCTTGCCTCCCAACGTGACCAATACTTGAATCCTTCTAGTTCAAACACTTTCTGAGCACATAAGCCGTCATCTCTTATATCTTCATCGAGTAGGGCTGGAAATAAATGAAGTAGACAATAATCTAATTAAAAATATGTTAGAACTGAATAATTAATTATTAAAATAATACCATATTCTGCTGTTAATCCTTTTTTTAAAACGTTAAAACCCACACTAGGATTTTCTCCTGTATCGTGGAGGCAGTTTACATACATAAATTGCACAAGGACAAACATCCCGGAACAATTATTTGTAGGCCATAGAGCTTCGAAAGAAGCGCTTTGTGCTAAACCCGATCGAAGGCCTTCGCAATGTCCAAACTAACGGTCAATGCCTCCCCCTTGGACTCTATGCCGCCGCCCATCTATGAGTCAGGTAGACCAGAAGATCACCAGCTGATCGACCACGACGAAAACCGTATTGGCGATCACTAATCAGCTGGTGATCCTCAAGGTACCTCATGAGCTAGCAGTTAACAATGGACCTGTAGTTGTGACGGGTCTGAGCGGTCGCCTTTTTTAGAGATCGGGTGGGCGAAAGCCGTCTTCCAAGATTTTGGGATTACGCCTAGGGAGTGGGAGTACCGGAAAAGAAGCGTTTAGACCGGTGCCAACTCTGAAGCAGACGTCCCCAGCACATTTGGGGCGATACCGTCAGGCCCTCTCGACTTGTATGTAAATACTTGTTCCGTGCGCGGTTCGAACCCGCGGCCCCCAGCGCACCCACTCGTTGCTAAGCCACTGCGCCATGGAGCCTTTCATAAATAATCACGAAGTAATTTGATTGTGAGTTCAACAGAGGTTATCATGTATGCACAATGTGCATACATGATAACCTCTATTGAACTAATGCACCTATTTCTGCCGCCAAATAGCAGCGCCTAAACCGCTGTTCCCTTCTTAATAGTATAGAGATCCATTATACTCGTAATTACAGGCTATAAGAGATTCTACATGGCTATAAGACCTAAGTCCTCAGATGTGACAACGCATCTGTAGCCTTTTGTCTTTGAAATTGGTTGCAGGTATCCATGGCCTACAGTATCCACTTACCATCAGGTGTACCTCATTTTAGCTTGACCTTTCAGTTTATTTTTTTAAATACTCGATACCGCCCGAATCGTCCGCCGGGTTCTTTCCCTTTTCCCATAACCTTCGGGCATTTTGTCTCCCCTGCCGGGCTTCCATTTGGTTGGGCTTTTATTTATTTATGTATTGTTTATTTATTTATGTTAGTATTGTAAATATATATTTATGTATGAGATAATGCCTCGTTACCATTAAAAAGAGTCCGATTCTCACACTTAACATACCAAGCACGTTAGTCCATCCGAGCAACTAGACTACGGTCGTTTTACTGTGTTATTTAAATTCACTTGCTTCAATCGCTTCAACATTAGCATAAAGCATGAACAGTGAAACATTGTGCAGTAAAGTAGTTGCATTGTTGCTGAAGCGCTAGTATCAAATGTTAAAAGATGTTGTAAAACGTTTCGATTTCAACTTTGACTTTAAACTTACCTTCGCATGAAATGTCACACTTGCCGCCTTTGCGACCTTCCTTGCAATATTCACTTCCTATCTAAAACAAAAGAGCATAATAGCTTATACATACGGAATTTTACATGTTAGTGCTCATACACACTAGGCGGGTAACCGCAATGCGGCTAGCCATCCAGCTGACCACAGGATGCGGTTGCCAAAGCGACCAACCGGATTGCGGGTAGCCGCATTTGCAACCGCAACCTGCGGATGAAGAACCGTCGCGATTTGGACGTGGAAGAATTTGTGTAGTAAATAGCTGCAAATAAAGAAGAAGAAAAAACAAACAAACATGATTTCGATAACGATTTTCGGTATCCATCATAAACGTACCACGTGAACGCAATCTCACACAATGGTGGGCAGGCGCAAACTGCGCCACACGGTACGAATAGCAACCGTCCGACTGGCTGTTATTCGGGCCGCAGCCCACCGAGCGAACAGAACGGTTTGCGGGTAGCCGCATCGAGTTGTGCATAGAAATAATAGATGTTACGTGCTACACATTATAGGCACAGTACGTAGAAGCTCTTATGGGGTCAATATTTTTTTCATAAATTTCATAAAGTCGATATTTTAATGTACTGTCCTCTTTTTAGTACAAAATCTTAATTTTAAATAACATTAGATGGAGTTATGACCTAAGTATCTCGACGAATTATTCTGTTAGCTATTTAGAGTAAAAATTCGAAGACAAAGAAGAAAAATTAAAAAGGGAAATTAATGTTACAGCGAAGTCAAATCTTCCACAAAGTAGCGCAACTACAAGTACTACTAGTACCTCATACCCACAGATAAGAAAGACTGCGCTCATCGTACATTTTAAGTGACGCCGAAACCATGCTTATCTTCTCAACGAACTCACGCACACATCTTTCTTTAGCACGCCTCATAACGTGAAGCGTTATTAGGTAGTGCTTTACTCTCAACACGTCAAGGTCAAGCAATTTTGTATTCTTAAAATGTTTCTATTATAACGATATTGCACTTATACGATAATATGAGTAGCCGTATATCAAGAAAAAACTAATAAATCCATCTTATATTTTCTAAAAAATCATTTTGTATTGCTGCTAGATTGAAAAAAAAACGGTTTCAAAAAAAATACGTGTACGTTCGGATGTTGATTTTATATGTGATCATGATAACTCCCAAAACACTGACGTATCGAAACCGGGTTGTTTTATAAGCTTCAGAATTATATCAACTGGTAGCCTAGTACGCGAAGCATGTTAATAAAATAATTTACAACTTTTATAAGTTTTATTGCTATTAAAAATATTAAGGCACTTTTTTATTTTTTTTAGTCCTTGATAGACAACAAACAAGGACTATACAGCCTATATCGATTTTACATTTTGTGTAATCGATTTATTTTGATAAACATTATAATTTTTTTCTACAGGTGGCACTACCATTTAAATAATAGCCTACTGTCACTACAGTACTGACACTACTGTTAAAATAATAGAGCGCTAAATTTAACACACGTAAATAATATATTATAAAAGTAAGGAATACAGTTTATTTTTTACATCAAAATTAAATAAAACGCTCATGAGGCGTGCACTTTTGGATTTTCCAAATATTTTTTATATTTTTTAGCATGTCAAAGTTTCCTGCCGGACACGTACATATTATGTACATAAAACCATGTAGGTTTCAAATTATTTTAGATGCATATGTGTACGTAAGTACGTGTTCTTACAATAAGTTGAGAATGGTATCGACTTGGTTTACTTTTTTGTAATGGTACTTTTAGTATTAGGTTATATAACATATAAACCTTGAAGTTTAGGGTCGAAGTGCTCCTCTTTAATTTCTTAACAAGTAACTCGAGGTCATTATCTAACGGCACCGAATTTTGACGTTTGGATATTTCCGAAGCGTGCTGCTTAGCTTCGTCCTCGACTTCAAGCATTCATGTGTTGATGTTTTGCGTGGGCGTCACTCTATCTATTCAAGAGTAGTCCAACACAATGTTTTTCTTAATACGTGGGTGGTCTGAAAAGTTTTCTAATTTTATTTACACAGACTCCATGTAACTCTACACACTTCTCCAAGAGATCCTCCCAACTCTCTAACCCGTCCAAATAATACTCGGCGTTTTTCTCTGCAAACTAATTGTTCACGAAGGTGATCGCCTCCTCATTTGACGAAAAAATCTCTCCTCCGAATGCAATTTTTAGAAGACGGAACAAAAAGAAGTCGCTTAGGGCTAGATCTGGTAAGTAAGGTAGATGGTCAAGCAGTTCAAACCGTAATCCATGGATTTTCGTCATGGCAACCGTTGAGTTGTGAGATGGCGCGTTGTCATGGTGAACCAGGATTTTCTTTTCCTGCAAATGTGGCCGTATTTTCGCAATTTTTGCCTTCAGTTAATCAAGTAATGACATAGTATACTCATGTGAAGGGTTTTCCTTTTTGAAAATAATCAATTAAGATAACTCCGTGACTATCCCAGAAACAGTTGCCATCACTTTCTTTACTTACTTTATTATTTATCTTCACGCACAATCTCTAACAGGGTAGCCACAGAGAACATATCGCCAAGTGTCACGATCCTTACGTAACTCTTTCGCTTCTTTCAGGTTCATTAACTTTTCATACATGCACGTCTAGGTATCCGAGTACTCTTGACCTTCCCCTCTTCGAGTAATTTGCTCACATGATCTTCGAAAGTTAGTCTCGGTCTACCTCGACAACTTTCAATATTTACTTTCGCGCTATATATTTTCTTCACCATTCGGTCTTCACTCATTCGCTCAACGTGCCCAAACCATCGGAGTACGCCCCTATCAATTTTTGTGATAAGGTCATCTTTCAATCCTGCCATATTGCGAATCTCTTCGTTTCGCTTTCATCACTTTCCCAGTCGAAAAACTGTTTTTGCTTTTACGGAGTCGGTTCCCCTTTTGTATTCCACTGTTTTGACTGTATTTTTATTTCTGCCGTATAATGGTGTATCCAAGTTTTATTTACAGTAATTCATCGGCATCGGCATCCAATGCGCTGACGACTTTCTCATGCCTAAATCTTGATTTAATATGTAGCAAACACGTTCTTTGGATATTTTCATATCCTCTGCAATCTCTCTTACTTTGATTCGGCGGTAGTCTAATACCATTTGGTAATCTTTATCGATGTTGTCGTCATTACTTCCAGTTGTTGAACGTCCCGAACTTTCATCGTCTCCCAAGCTCTCACGGCCACATTTGAATTCAGCTGCCCAAAATTTCATTGTGATAAATGATCGTGCAGTCCCCATACACAGAGTTCAACTCATCTTTGATTTGCATAGGCGTATTGCCTTTTAAAAATAAAAATTTAATATGACATTGAAACTCAATTTTTTCCATTTTCACAAAAACACTCACGTCGACTCACTCAAATAACAACTACGCGTACAAAACGGCTGAAACTTTGGTGCGTATTGCGTAACTATTAAAAGATATACAACTACACTCACTAGCTTTTGTTGACGAGTGCTGTCATCTTCACGTTGAGTTTGGAAACCTTTCAGTCCCTGATATAGTCTTCACTTATATTATACGTTTTTCACACAGTTACAACTCACTAGTTTATAGCCGCTCTTCTAAGAACTTAAATGCAAATTTCCAGATGAATATAATATATAAACACTCACGCCTGTCACCCAGAGGGGTAGGCAGAGACTACGGACTTCCATTTGGCACGATCCTGACATACCTCTTTCGCCTCCTTTACATCCATATATCTACGCATACATGCTCGTCGGTTAAGGGTACTTCTAACGTGGCCCATTTTCAAAATATCGCCAATTTGGTCGATAAACTTTTTTCTAGGGCGTCCCTTCCCGACTCGGCCATTCACATCTGCCACATAAATTTGCTTTGTCACTCTTTTCTCATTCATTCTTTCTACTTGACCAAACCACCGAAGCATTCCTTTCTTAATCCTGGTGACAACATCATCTTGCATACAACATTTATCTCTTATCACGCAATTTCTCACCCTGTCATTCAAATTCAACCCTAGTATATTCCTTAAAGACCGCATTTCTACAGCATTTATTCTGCTTTCGTGCTTCTTCTGCCACACCCAGCCTTTCACTACAATACATTAAAGTAGGGACTAACACAGCACTATAAATTATCATACGTGCCTTTTTTTGACACATTCTGGTTCTTCATAATAGAGTGTAGTGCCCCATTCACTCTATTCCCTGCATTTACTCGTCGTTCTATATCCCTATCATATCTACCATCCCTGCTAAATACACATCCCAAATACACAAACTCAACTAACTCTCCTTCTATTCTTATTTCACATACCGTTTTGCTTTCTTCTCTTTCAAAAACCATCACTTTCGTCTTACTTGCATTCACTTTCATTCTCCTTTCTTTTAATTCCCAGTTCATTAATGTAACTATCATTTGCAACTCAGCCGCCGATGACGCAAATATGACTTGATCATCGGCATATAGAAGGCATTTGACGGTTAACTAGCTCATTCCTAACCCACATTCTTCACCTTTCAAAGTTTGCAAACATCTGTCCATAAATAGGTTAAACAGCCAAGGGGAAGCTACACAGCCCTGTCTGACACCTTTTTGGATGCCAAACCAGTCCGAGTAGACCCCATTGATCCTGACACAAGCACTAAAGTCCCTATAAAGAGACCTTAATGCCTGTATCAAACCAGCGCTCAACCCATATGAGTTCAGTGTTTGCCATAACACATTCCTGTCCACTCTGTCATAAGCCTTTTCCAAGTCCATGAACGCACAAAAAACTTTCTGGTTTTTGGCCAAAAACTTCTCCGCAATCATGCGCATGGAAAAGACTTGATCTGTACACCCCATTCCCTTTCTAAAACCCCCTTGCACATCCCAAATTTTTCCACCAGTTTTTTCATAACTCTTTCAATTAACACCTTAGCATACAGTTTACCCACAATACTAAGCAAGCTGATACCACGGTAGTTTTTGCAGTCCTGCTGTGACCCTTTTCCTTTATATATTGGTACTATAACTGCTTTACACCAGTCATCCGGTACCCGTTTTAATTCCCAACATAAATTAAACAAGGTGTACAGCAGGCCTGCCACCACTCCCTCTCCAGCCCTTAGCATCTCTATCATATCCAGCTGCCTTACATGCTTTCATGCTTTTCATTGCTTTCATTATTTCATCTACACTTATCTCCATACCCCTTTCCACTACTTTCGGAATTTCTAGTTCATATAATTCAGACGACTCTTCACTCATAAACACGCTTTCAAAGTATTCCTTCCATCTGTTTAAATTTGAAACTTCATCATTCAGAATACATCCATTCTCGTCTCTTATAGCATTAATTATAGGCTGTTTTGTATTTCCCCTGGCAGTTCCTACGAGTTTCCAGAACATTTTTATGTTGTCCTGGAAATTATCAGATATCCTTCTATCATTCTTATCCGTTCTTTCTTTCTTTTTCCTTTCAACAACTTCTTTTACTCTCTTATTTAGACGTCTAAATTCTGCCTTTTTTCTTTCAATCTCATCATTCATACCAGAAGAATTACCAACTTTGGTTGCTAGTAAATCTAACCATGCTTTTTTCTTTGATTCAACTTCCACCCGTACCTCATCATCCACCACAACGTATTACTTTTCCTTTCATTTGTTCTCTTACTTACACCACATACTTCGGTGGCGGCATCCACCAAACCTTTCTTAATATTATCCCACACAGTATTCAAGTCTAAATCATTCATACACAACTCATTCAAACATCTAATATTTTCTCTCAGTCTACATTTATACTTCTCTTTCACATCTTCATCTTGTAACTTCTCTATTCTTATACGCTGTAACGCAGTGGTAGACACAGATGTCCGATGCCGCCAAGGCTTGAAAAGACCATTAATTCGACATAAGACCAAGTAATGATCCGTCCCTACGTTGGCCCCCCGGTAAACCCTTGTACCTACGACTGCGCCCTTCTCATTCTTTCATCCACAATTACGAAATCTATCATGCTTCTATCATCACCTCTTTCCCATGTATACATGTGAATCTTCTTATGACGAAAAAAAGTATTCGTCACAAAAAGATTCTTTTCCACACATACGGTGAGGAGGTCTTCACCATTCTCATTTATACTTTCATCACCAAACGTTCCCAATATCCTTTCATAACCAGACCTCTTCATCCCAACCCTTCCATTAAAGTCTCTAACATAATAATATTTTCATTTTCCTTACATTTTGTCAACACCATCCTTACCATGTCCCAAAACTGCTCTCGGATGTAAGTGGGCTTAGACATGTCTGGGGCGTATACCCCTAGCAGGAACAGCTTCTTTAAGCCCACTTTCATTCGTATCCATAGCAGCCTCGGGCTTACACATTCATACTCTTTCACACATTGACCCATTCTTTCTGAAAGGATGAAACCGACTCCCTGGCATGCCCGTTCGGTCTCGTCTACACCAGACCAATACGCGGTATACGTGCCATGTGCAGAGGCATCCTTTCCCTTTCGTTTCATCTCATTCACACATAACACATCTATTCCTCTGTCATTCATCATTTCGCATACTTCATCCATCTTATCATTCATTCCTCCACATACATTCAGCGTAGCCAGACGGGTTTCCGCAATCCACTTTTCGCCCCTCCGGGAGACAGAACGTGACGGGTGGCGAACCTCGTCGCCGGTTTTTCTCCCGGAGATTCAATGATACTTCATTTTTCTATCTAAAAGGCTTTTTTATTCTTTTTAATAGAATAATGGTGACAAAGTAAGTGGATGCTGTGACCCATAGATGTCTACATCTAACCACTGTTGCGCTTTACCCTTCCAGTAAAAAGTGTCTCCCCTTCACTCACCATACGAAAAACAACATCATTAAGTGTTATTTTACGCTGGCATTCTGTGAGAGAGTAGTCTTTCCCAGGTCAAGATAACCCATTTGTGCTATAGCTATATAGCGCGGCTCTATTCACGTACAAACTGTTGCTGATGACAGTAAATTCTCCAAAACTGTAGTGCAAGACCTTGTAATCTTCTGGGACATCGCACACCCCTACAATTCATATGAGAGGGATGGAATTGTGAATATTGTTTTAACGTGCAAACGAGCATACGGTTCACCTGATGTTAGGTGACTATCGCCGCCCATGAACATCCGCAACACCAGGGGAATTGCAGGTGCGTTGTCGGCCCTTTAGAAAGGAGTGAGCTCTTTTTTGAAGGTCCCCAGATCGTATCGGTCCGAAAAAATCGCTGGTAGTAAACTATTCCACAGAGAGGTCGTACGCGGAAGAAAACTCCTTGTGAAACGTACATTGGTGGACCGCCAAGCATCCAGATGGTGTGGATGGTATCGGGAGGTTTGCCGTGTAGTGCCTTCATGAAATTTGGCGGCTGGGATTATTCCGAACAATTCCTCAGAGTACTCCCCGTGATAGATGCAATGAAATACGCAAAGAGATGCAACATCTCTTCGCAGCGCTAGTGAATCGAGCCGATCGGAAAGCACTCGGTCGTCGATGATTCAAGTCGCTCTGCGCTGGATGCGGTCAAGTGGAAGGAGCTGTCACTGGGGAACCCTAGCCCAGAGATGGGAACAGTATTCCATGTGCGGCCGAACTGCGCCTTGTAAAGTTGCAGGCCCTGTGCCGGTATGAAATAACGTCCCGCTCTGCTGAGCACGCCAAGCTTTTTAGAGGCCAATTTGGCCTTCTCTTCCAAGTGACGACTCACGAAACTGCACGTCACAACACTTCACAACTAAGGTAATAAACCAACTAATAGTCCACCTCATAGTAAATGGTTACTGTATCCCATAAATACTTCAGCCAACTTCAAACACAGAAGCGTACAGGTGCGTTGACTGCTCTGAGTACTGAGATGGAATTTATTTCAGCCAGTAATTAAACTGACTATCACTTCAGACAGAAATACAACAGTACAAGCACCGCTACTTGGCAGCAGAAATAGATATTAAGAAGGCCCTACCCAGAAGAACTTCTCGGCAGAAATGGAACCCTCTCCCTCAGTAAAGTATAGAAATAATTTTTAGGACAAAACTACTTACCTGAAAAAGCCCATAGTATTTTCTTCTTGGAGATTTTGCGTGAAATGTTGACGTATTTCTATCACTCTCCTGTTCGATTAAGCAAACCCCTAAAACATGTTTCTTTGTTTTAATATCAGTATTGTTATTTACACTTATCTAGAATAAAAAATATTAATGGCATGGTAATGAGAAGACGTTGAGGGCTTCGGGTAAACTCTCCCACGGAACATATCTTGAAATTTTCATATATGTATAAAAATGTATCCATATATTTAAAAGCCACGAAATACAAGAGAAATTCAAGTAGTAAAAGTTTTGAAAAAGGTTAAATTTTAATGATTGTGATAATTACATTTGGTGATATTTGCTTACATAAGGTGATTATATAAAAATATTCACAAAGTTTAATATACAATATAAGTTATTCAAGTTAATAATTTAATTTATATAATATGCTTGTAAAACTTTTCATTTATTAGTATCTACTTACTAAAAGTTTTCTACTGAATTTATACATGTATCATAGTTTGCTCATATGGGAGGACATATCCCATAAACACGGTAGAGCCATGCAGCAGGTATATTATGTTTGTAGCACGAAATTATCGGCTCGGCCGGAAAGGGACCGTGCTCTCACAGAGTAACACCGTGAAATAGCAGCCTAATGAGAATAAAAATGTAGGTGCATTGTAAACCTCGAGGACCAAGATGAAATGCCCCGTTTCTCGTAAATAGAGTGTCCAGTTCTCTACATTTACCATACGAAACACAGCAGCCTTAAGCTTCTATTTTACGCTAGTATTCTGTGTGAGCGTGATCCCATCTCGGTCGAGCCGACATTATTTTTATTTACAAATATAAACATTCGCTCGTCTTTACTTGGTATATAGAAAATTGTGGATGCCACAGATTAAAAAAACTGCAAGAAGTGTTTTTCATTAACATGAAGTTTGAGCTTCACTCACAATATTTTATCAATCACAACGAAACAATCACTTTTTGCAGTATACAAACAACAAGACGGCAAATTCTTTTTTCTGTCAGCGCCGGATAATTTCTTAAGGTTTACCAAGGGCTTCGAACAGAAACAATACATAATTAAGAATCTTGCATGTCTAAAACACACGATAATGTGATGAAATTATTTGCAGAAGATCTTTCATAATTTTTCAAAGTTAAGAACCTATGACTAACTATTAATAACATATTATAAATTATATAATAATTTAATATTTAAAATGCATAAATCATTTTCAAAGAGTATTCTTGTAATCCATGTAAAAAAAAATCTATTCTATTCGAAATTTTTAGCTGATTTTACTTCATTATTAGCTCGACCTCCAAGAGGGTATTGACAATATTGACAATAATCAATCAAAAATCCATTACGGAGCTTAAATTTACTGACGAAAATTCATGTTAAACAGAGTTTAGTTCAAAGACGTTTAATTTTATAAGATGTTTATAATATTATATGATATACATATATATATTCTTATATGATGGAATACAAAAATAATACTAATTTATATTTTAAATAATAAACGTGAAGCTAAGAAGATTTCACATCTGACTTCGAGTCCTACGACTGTAAGTTTTTTTTTATAGAATAAAGGTGATAAGCGAGCACACAGTAAGTGGATGCTGTGGCCCACAGACATCGGGAAAGTGTCAAATAGTAGCATTATACTGGTGTGGTGTTTATGATTCGTGACGAGAATCGGACACGCTTCACAAAAACAAAAAAAATCATTAAAATAGTGATGCACATTCTGTGAATACTAGGCAAAATCTCAAGCCATTAAAAGCAGTTACTCCACTTTAAAGAGTCTGTAATGATTTTGGGGCAGTGTGCTTTTACAACAATAAATTAAACTAAAAATTTTAAAAATCCTCTAAAACAAAAAAAGTTGTTGATCTTCAAACGGCTGAAAAGATTTTCTTAAATCATAGCTTAGAACACTCTCGATCAAGTCCCCTTTTTAACAAAAAAAAACTAAAATCATACTTACATCTAAATCGGTTCATCCATTTGGAAACTACAATACCACAGGCAGATACACATATAGACATATACACACGTTAAATATATAACACCCCTCTGTTTGCGTCGGTGCTTAAAAATATGTACGATGTCTATATCAAAAAATTTATAACATTTATAAGGCAAAAGTTGTTTGATAAGGATTATTATACTACCAGTATAATAATCCTTATTTTATATATTGATAAAAATCCTTAGAAATTGGGTGATCGCTACCATGCTGTTTCTAAATATGTATAATATCATGAAAAGACAGCTCCGTGGCGCAGTAGTTTAATAATGAGTTACAGTGCTAAGGGCCGAGGTTTCGATTCCCGCACGGAACAAGTATTTGTATAGCCTACAAGTAATTGTTCCGTGTCTGGATGTTTGTCTTTCTGAAATTTATGTCTGTTAACTGCCGATACAGAAGATATCCTAGTGTGGAGGTAACATTTTTAAAAAGATTTAAAAAAAACTTTCATATTTAAAACATTAAATAAGTCCCTCTGGGTTCGTCCTTTCCAGAACAAAGAATTTTTCTCGAACCAGTGATTTTTTTAAGAGATAAGTGACTTTTAATAATTATTCTTGTAATCTCAAAAAGTCGTAATCTTTAAAAGTATTCTCGTGAAAAATATTTTTTTTCTTTTCCATTCCATTGTTCTTAATGTTTAATTAGATATTTCCTAAGTCCTCTGAGGTGACGTCTCATCTTAATTACCTATGTATCTTAATAGAAAATAGATGAAGGTGTCCAAATTAGTTATCATCGGGCAGACTGTGCGCTCTGTTATTATCATTCTTAATTATATAACAAAGAAAAATATAATTTTGGCTGTTAATGCATATATTACAAAACTTCATATTTACTTTTCAATTGACGCATATTTGTTATTATGAAGATGGTATTAAGTATACGTTCTTATCTGAGACACACTTTCCTTGTGTGAAATTTATTATGATTCCAGTAGCCATAAATTTGGGTGTTATTTCATATATTTGTTATAGATAACGTTAGTTGTTTAGTATGCGCAACTGAGGAGATAATATTGTATATCTTTATCTATTATAATATGAATATGTATTTATGATATATCTGTAAGAGTCTTGTCTGAATCATTAGTAAGAAGAAGTAATTTAAAAAAAACTAGGAGGTTAAGAAAGGGGTGCTAGAAGAATATTATTGTTTTAAGATTTTCTGTGTATATCTATGTATTCCTAATTAATGCATAAGGTACCAAACAGATTTCAATAATATTTTGTATGAGGGAAGATACTGATCCTGTGAAAAATATTATAGACTACTTTCTATCCGACTTCGGAAGTGTAAAAAGGATTTTTTATAGAATAAGTGTAATGGTAAGTGGATGCTATGGCTCATTAGATTCGTTGTCACCCCTAAGGATTAAGATGGAATGCCTCGTTTCCAATGAAGAGGTATTCGGATCTCTACATTCACAATACGAGATACTATGTGTGGATTCACCAATTTGGCCGTGGAAGGAAAAGGGAGATTTCCCACCGCGCAATGTGTTCAGCCCGGGGAGCGGCCAACGCTTCGTGTTTTTTTTTTCGAAAACAGCATTCTGAATCGAATTGTATGCTGTTTGCCCTGCGACCCTTACAGCTTCATCAAAATAGACTTGTAAGCGAGGACCTACGCCGCGTCGCTGACTGCAGTCCCGAGGCACCTCGACCGCTGCTTTTGGGGTGAGGCTCCTCGAACTAGGGGGGTCTCAAGATGATTCAAGGGCCTTTCAGAAGGAGGTATGAACTTGGTTTGAACCACTATCGCAATGTAGGAAAACGGGTTGAAAAACTAAAAACATCCCATATCACGGGTATTGACGTGTACCGGGTGTGTCTGTGACCTCACGTTCGCCGGCGGACGCGGTGTATCCTAGTGTTCTGTACTAGTGTAGTATCTGAATGTGTATGTGTGACAGTGTTAGAAAATCGAATTCCCTCGGAGAGTGGATCCGATGGTGGTGAGTGGGGCCCATCCAAACCGACCTATTCATGAAAGTGATCGTATCATCAGGATCAATAAGAACGCTTATTATCTAATGTCACCCCCAGGGTTCTGTTTCTGGCTACTGCTATCTAAATTGAGATTGCACCTTTCTTGTGTCGTTTAAGCCTAAAGAGTAACTTTTTACAGCAAGCTTTCGCGTTAAATATGACAGCTTTGCTTTTTGTCGGGATTAAGTCGTAATCGTTTAGAGCGGTCTATGTAGTTTGGACTCGAATACAGACTCTGAATGGGCTATTATCTGGCAAATAAATTGTTCTATCATCTGCATATAGTGCAAGATGTGTATATCATAGGGTATCATGGGGATATCGTTCTCGTAGAGTTAGTAGAGAGTCTGGGAGAACACAGAACCCTGGGGAATTCCTCCACTAATGAGTCTGAAAGAAGAGAAGGTCCCCTCGACGCGAAATCGGAAGGAACGATTGAGCAAAAAGTACTCCTATATGGAGAAGTTTATAAACTAATCCATTGTGCATGACCTTGTCGAAGGCTTTAGTCACATTAAAGAACTGAGCACCTGTATGTGCAGTGCACCTGTTCTAATTTGCGGCGTAATCTGAGATGTGCTCCGTAAGGCGGTGCACCTGTTGAACTGATTTACACACTTTAATAAGAGCCAAGTAAATTTGACAATACGCGAGCAAGCCGGGTTCGATCCCCGCCGGCACCAATAACATTGTTAATTGCAATTTTAAGTGCTGATTTCCCACGTGCTCGGCGGTGAAGGAAAACATCGTGAGGAAACCTGCATGTCTGAGAAATAAGAAAAAAAAGTATTTCGAAGACATGTGAAGTTCGCCAACCGCATTGGGGCAGAGCGGCGGACTATTCCTTGCCCTAAAACCCTCTCAGAAATGGAGGAGGCCTGTGCCCAGCAGTGGGACGTATATAGGCTGTATCTTTAACCTGATCTAAATGTTCTGAGTTCATAGATTCGAGGTAAGCCTCGAATCTATGCCAGACCGTCACAACTCCATGTGTTTGTACAGAGCTGTTCTATATATATCACAGTACTTCGTAACTTTCATAACGTAATTTAGGCATTAGTGCGTTTCATTTGTGGCGTGAAGACAGCATCACCACACTATGCAGTGTTAAGCTGCTATTTCACGCTAGAGCGTGGTCCTTCCCCGATCGAGCCGATTCATGCGTGCTACAAAATGAAGGGTGTTATGTTTTTTCTTTCCGCTTCTTCGTAAATGTCAAAAAATCGTCGCTTTTCGCGTCGTTTTTAATTCTGACCTCACAAAACATTTCATCGAAAACATTAGGCGCATTATAATCATCATAGTCATATTTAAAATTTACAGCAAGTACATTATTATTCAATGAATATTGGGATATTGTGTTGTTAATCTTACAATTTTTGAAATAATTTGAAATACATTATATCAGACACTACAGAACTTTATACTGTATCACTAAACTTACTTTTTTGTTTTTTAATGTTTATATTGTTTTTTATTAGTTTGTTTAGCTACATATATTTTGAAATTATTAGTATAAGATTTAGTTTATAATTAATAAGAGGACTCTATCTCACTGGGTTCGACATGTAAGGGTAGATGTCACAAGTAATAAATAAATTAATAAATTATGTGTACGGATATAATGATTAAGTGGGAAGCTCTTTAGTAAAATATTTTACTTTCTACCAGCGTGATAATAAGTTCGAAATTCTTTAGCCCATCACGTTATCTCATGTTTATGATAAAAGTTAAGTGCACTGTGAGATTTTCGATGATTGCCGATCTATGTTAACAGGTTCTTTATATTTTATGAATATTTTTAATAAAATGTGGTCCTCAGTCTATAAAGTCTAGTCATGTCTAGTCTTATGGGTATATAGTTCACCTGATGGTAAGTACACGCTGTGGCCCATAGCCATCTATATTTATCCTCGATTCAGAATCAATATGCATTGTCACCCCTGAGGACTAAGATAGAATGCCTCTTTTGCAGTAAATAGGGTTTCCGGTTCTTTACATTCGCCATACAAAACACATCTGCATTAAGCTGCTATTTACTGATATTCTGTGTGAGCGTGGTCCTGCTCAAATCGAGTCGAACCATTGGTGCTACAACCATAATACAGCTACATCGTGACTTTACCACGTATCGAAGCAGTTAAACACTAATCAAATCCCTATAGCCCAGGGGATAAACTTTAGTTTTCATATAGTAGCAAACCATGTTTAATGCCCACCAAGACAAATCAAATTGTTAATTATAATTTTAAGTTTTTATACGTGGTAGAGCCATGCTGCAATTATATTAGTAGTATAGTTGTAGCACGAATGGGTCGGCTCGACCGGGGAAGGACCACGCTCTCACAGAATACCAGCGTGAAATAGTAGCTTAATGCTGCTGTATTTCGTATGGTGAGTGTAGAGAACCGGAGACCCCTTTTTACTGGAAATGAGGCATTCCATCTCAGTCCTCACAGGTGACAACGCATCTGCATTTTGATTTGTATGGGCCGCAGCAACCACTTACCATCAGGTGGACTGTGTGCTTGATTGTCACCCTATCCTATAAAAAAAAAAGTGCTGAATGCTGACTACCACGTGCTGGGCGGTGAAGGAACACATTGTAGAAAAACTAGATGTCTGAAAATTTTAAAAACATTTCAAGGAGATTGGAAACTGTCAGCATGCATTGGAGAAGTGTGGCGAACTCTTTTCTGTCTTAAAACAGTTCCAGTAATGAGAAAAGACCAGTGACCAGTCGTTTTGTGGTTTTAATAAGTCTTCTGTTAAACAGTACCTATGTAATTAATTAAGCTAGCATTCTTTGACAATCAAGAAATTTCAGGGAACTACATACGTTCAAGTGATTTGAAAAGTCGCTTGTCAAAACTGAAAATCGAACAACTCAAACGTTAAAAAATAAAAGGCTATAGATTATTATAATAATTAAAGTTAATCAATAGAGTCAATCGTATGACTCAAATATCACCAAATGTAATTTTATATATCGTAATGTAATAATACATAATAATGAGTATGAATCGCTTATTTGACTTTCAACGCTCTGTCAATTTAATATAATCGTCACCTACACACGCGACGTAGCGTTTTAATGGAATTACATAGAATATAAAAGACAAACCGAATAATACCTACTCTTAATTATGCAACAGATGATTAATCGGTCCTATAAACTCACAATTGCTGAGGAATGTCCTTGAGAAACCATTCCGTAGTAGTTCACGTGTTAGCTGGCATCTAGTAAACACTTTGCTTTGGACCATCGAAAATGTTAATGCACATATTAAAATAATTGCAGTGACACGTACGTGCGCCATCGCGTTGTTTTTAAAACTGACGACCTCTGTGTTACTGTCGCGATGCGCGTGCACACCTTCCTCCTTTAGGGAAAATCCGAGCATTCATAAAATAGCCTTTTTACAAGGCTTCGTTTTTAGATATTTATCTCTTTTAAATACGTTAAGTAATTATTGACCCTTAACACAAAGTAAAATTAAGCTTTAACTTAAGAGAAAAAATACAATACTCTAGATCGCTTGAGGCGAATCTTGGAGCTGGACACGGGTAAGGAGACCCGGCTTTTCCGTTGTAGAGCGGATTTCTCTAACGCGTCACGCAAGGCAGGTGGCTCAATAAACGTTGTACCAGACGTACCAACTTTAACGCTGCTGTCCGTCACCGGCCTGCGTGTTTTACTTCACGTCAGGCGTAAATGACATGGTCATGACATATATATGGCTCCAGAGATATCGTGATGAGTCAGTACATAGGTGGGAATCTCTTTAATACATATATATATATATATTAAAAAATAGCCGCGGCTCCGCTGCCTTCGCAAAATTTGACATTTGCTGTCAAATTCCGGCATTACATTTTAGCTCGCATATTTCCACGAGACTCCTTACGTGAAACAGATTTTAATTTAGAACTCAGTCTAAAATAAACTACTTTTTGTAAAGCCCTTTGAGTATTAAAGTAAGACTACAAATAGTTTATTTTTTATTTGTAGGCCCCATGAAAAAGTTGACTTTGAATAATTTTTGTAAAGTATAATATCTTGTTTATCGTTACAGTTCAATATCGGTGCACGGATTTATAATATCTTTGGACATTGAGGAGTTTTGCTACATTGAAATCGATATTACAGTTTTTATTTAAGTTCAAAAGTTCACGAGTGACGCAGATATACTTAACCGACCAAAAGAATTTCATAATTATTCGTTAATATTAAACTAAATAGTACAAATTTAAACTCAAAAATACTGTCACAAAGACAACAGATAGTGTTTTATTTCGTTAGAAGTCATTATTAAGAATAAGTGACAGCGATAATAATAATATAGTTGCCAAGTGGTTATGCTGTGAGTCTTGCTAAAAGCTACATCTATCCCAAATGTCGGAAATTAAGCATTAACTGCATTACAATTAGCATTAAGCTACTATTTCACGCTGGTGTTCCGTAAGAGCGTGGTCCTCCCCGATCGAGCCGACCCATTCGTGCTACAACTATACATCTAATATAACTGCATCATGGCTCTACCACGTATAAACGTACGTGTGAAATACCCAGACTGGAGCCAGTTATCAACATTATAGGCGCGAAACGTCTGCTGATGCAATCGCCAATCCAACTGTCAAGTGAAGGGCTTATGGCAAATTCAACAAAACATTACAAAGTAAGAGTTTGACGTTTAGCAGTAAGTTTTTACGTGTAAAGTAGAAGAAGATAATAATAACAAAAAAGGACAATAAATCAGCTGCAGTCAAATCAACATTTCCGGCTTCTTCTTAATACGGACTCGTATTTTGCTTTTTGTTTTAAGATATTGTTAGATAATACCAAGGAATTCAAAAAAATATGATTAATATGACTGAATAAAAAAGGTTTAGCTGTTTATTGTCTGTTGTTCATTACAATTTATGGCTCATTCTTCTCTAATATAGGAAAATGGCGGGAGAGTAAAACAACTACGTTTCTTGAAATTAACTATGAGTATGAAGTTAAGCTATTAAGAGGCTTGGATTTCCTTAGCGTGATAACGTTATAATAAATCCTTTATCGTTTTTTTAAAACATAACATTTTAATATTAACATAAGTATTATGTTATTATTAAAATGTTATGTATGTTATGTTATTTATATTAAAACTACGTTTGGACTAAAATATCGCAAATCTAGAGCTAAAATTTTGCTAGTAATAAAGTTTACAAATCATACGTCGTTTTTCAAGCAATATCATTACAATTAAACACGAAAAGGAAAGTTGTAACAAAATAAATAATAGACACAAATAAAATGTGAACTATTAAATGTTGCTAATACAGTTATCGTTCTTGGACAAAAGTCAAGGCAGAGGCGAATTCAAGGTCGCATGTATTCGGCACAAATCAAACATAAATTATATAAGTCTTTAAGCGAAACTCGACAGAGATTGCGACGTCTTGGTACTTTGTTTATTTTTAACATCTTTGTTTTTCTTTTTTCTGTGTCGTTATATAATAAATCCATTATCGTTTTTTAAAAATATAACATTTTAATATTAACATAATACTCATATTAAAACTACGTTTGGACTAAAATATCGCAAATCTAGAGCTAACATTTTGCTAGTAATAAAGTTTACAAATCATACGTCGTTTTTCAAGCAATATTATTACAATTAAACTCGAAAAGGAAAGTTGTAACAAAATAAATAATAGACACAAATAAATTGTGAACTATTAAATGTTGCTAAGACAGTTATCGTTCTTGGACAAAAGTCAAGGCAGAAGCGAATTCAAGGTCGCATGTATTCGGCACAAATCAAACAAAAATTATATAAGTCTTTAAGCGAAACTCGACAGAGATTGCGACGTTTTGGTACTTTGTTTATTTTTAACATTTTTTTTTCTTTTTTCTGTGTCGTTATATATTTATATGATTTTAAACATATTCCTCGATATGAATAGAATTATAGAATCAAAGGATTCGAATGACTTCAAATTTACCCTGTAAATATTAGCAATATTTCACCACTCTTTTAGATAAAGAGTTTTGTAGTTGGCTCAGTAAAATTTACATTCTCACTTGAACAGATCGCAAATAAGAGATCTCCCGTTGTAGGGAGAATTCGCCTTCTTCGTCACGCTTGGCAAGAGGGAGAAGAATTGCAGTACCAGATGCTTCATACCTTCGTCACAGCTACCCGTCGCCAGTCTTAACATTTTACGTCTAGCAGAAACGAGATGGTTGTGCCATCTATCGGATATCATAAGATCTCTCTGGATATAACCCGGAAGTTCTCTGGCACTTAAGTCTCTGTGTGCTAGATCGCTACGTGACGAGACGGCCGCTACTGCTTGCCATGCCTTCAGCACGAACTAATCTCCTAACATACGCTCCTAACTCGAGCCCTTCACGTGGTCAACAGTTTGCGTCTTAAAATTAATATATTTAGTTGTCAGTATAGTATACATTTTTTTTTTTCAAAAATGATGTTAATTTTTAATTTTTACTGATTTATAACGAATTTGGTGGCGTTCGAAATGATTTTACCAAAGTTAGATTTTAAATACTGTTTCAACCGATTTGGACTGGTAGATTTTGATAAATTTCAAAAAAAATGTTTTTAAACATATAGCTTTTAAATAGATCAAAAACTAATCGGCTCTAAAGCATGGAAAACGATATCGATTGCTGCAAACCGCTTCAAAATGGATAGTTTTGGGGGCGTGGCTTATTCCTTTGTCGATCACGGACGACTGAGGGAGTGTCAAAATGAAAGTGATGCAATGACTTCCTAATACGCAAATTATGAGATAGCTATACACAGTACAAGCTCTAAAAAAAACTAAGTAAGCGCCAAACAACATTTTTATTTTTTTAAACAAAACTTCGTTATGTATTAAAGAAATGGTTTATGAGAACTTAGATATGATTACTTACTATGCCGTAAAAATAATTCCATTAACTTATTTGTAAAAATATTGTGGTGTCATGGAGAAATGTAACTAATTAGAGCCTACAGACAGACAGGCAGTGCGGCAGACATTTCCTTTACCTAAAACCCTCTCGAAATGAGAGGAGACCTGTGCCATGCAGTGGGTGTATATAGGCTGTAACTTTACTTCACTATTGTGATTATTAGCAGGGCAATGATCTTAATAACTTTTTAACGACCTTTAACGGAGTATTCAATCCAGCGTAATAGCATTGGAAGAAAACAAATAATTATCAAAGTTAATTTTTATTCCACAAAAAACAAATTCCATAAATTATTATTTACATATTTTATTTACTAATTAAAGCAGAACCAAAGTTCTCCGAAACATTTACAAACGTCAATAAAAAAGGACAACTTATTACATTTATTACATATTAAACAATTTGTTTAATTAATTTCTAAGTATCATAGAATAACCGAGCAAACTACAAATAATTATATTTTAAAAAAACGTGCGATGACTTTGTCATTTTATAAACAAAAATATATTATTATCGCTTATCAGCCTCGTGTTAATATATTATTAGTGTTAAATCTATTACGTAAAATAATCATCTTCACAGAAGATATAAATTGTTATTTATAGAAATATAATCCAAAAAAGAGTATAACAAAAATCTCAGTGATTTTCGAGACAATCACCACAATTATTTTATTAGTTGTTTATGAAATTTGTTTTAATTCAATTAAAAAATAATAAAGAGGCATTATCACCATTAATCAAAAAATGTTTCAAGCTTTGAATTAATTATATTTGCCTAAAATTTTAATGAAGGTAATCCGTCCAAATCCATTGTGTTTAAACAATTAAACGACATTGTATAATTAAGTATATATTAATAGTTTAACTTGTAATATTCGTAACAAATATTTTAAATTAACAAATTAAACAATCTTTCAACTTTTAACGTTATGACCTTCTTATCTATGTTTATAAACAGTAATGATTATTAGTATCGTTCTGGGAATTCATCTTGCTGTGCACTTAGCAAATTATCTAACGACTGGTTTTTTTTTTCAAATTAAATTAAACATTATCAAATAATTAATTTTCAATTTATCTTTAAGATTAATAATGTAACAGAAATTTTATTAAATTTTGTTTAAATAAAATATTCAATTTATAACAAATAATTTATAAGAATACATAATCATTTTTCAATTTAAATTTTGATTTTATATTATTTATTAATAGAAACTTATTAAAAAGACTAGTAAATTAATTGTATATGGCAATTATTTAAGTCATTACTAAACCTTAGAAGTCGCTGTTAGCATTA